GAGCAGTTTGACAATTCCTTCACAGATGGGCACCTACCTCAGGATGAACACCTCATGGAGAGGCACATGTGTGCTGACTGTGGTAAGACATTTACTGATATTGCAGGAATCAAGTCACACATGTGTCCCCTCCTAAATCAGCAGTATCAGACCATGATGAATGGCTCACCCGGTCACATGGACTTTCATAACACAAAGCATCAACATTTCTTAGGAGAGTCAGGTGAAGATGTTGGTTTTGAGGGACATGACGGCAGTGCAGCAGTGGCCTATATTGGACAGCATACCTTTATTGACAACATTCATAGTCAGATGTGTGACAGTGAAGATGATGAAGAAGAGGACGATGGAGAGATGTATCAGTGCTCAGTGTGTGGGAATCACTATACTAGCATGCGTGCACTGCGAAGCCATCTCAGAGGTCATACTCAAACTCATGCCGCACCTTCAGCATGTGGCCCATCATCATTGTCTTCTCGAGAGGTCAAGAAAGATGAAACGAGTGAAAATCAGCAGGGTGACTGCAGTCTGATTATCTGCAGCACTTGTGGAGAGAGCTTTACAAAGAAACAGGACCTACAAGCCCACCAGCTCCTGCATAGCAGTATGGAAGATAATCTGCAAGAACAATTTGTATCCAACCACCAGCATGAGCTCAAACCAAAAGTGGAAATCGAGAGTATTATTTGTGGGAAATGTGGCATAAGCTGCAGTGATATTTATCACCTCAGTAACCACAGCTGCACAGGACAACGAGATGGACAAGTGGGGGAGAAATGTGGGGAGAAACCGCTTCTTAGAAGTGCATTTGAGCAAGAACTTTTGCAGAAGGGTTCACATGATGGAGAGCACCAGTACAAGTGTGACCAATGTGGTCGTTCGTACAGACATGCTGGATCATTGCTCAATCATAAGAAGTCTCACAAAACTGGAGTGTTTCGCTGTTTTGTTTGCCAAAAGCGTTTTTATAATTTGCTGGCTCTCAAGAATCACCAGAGGACACACTTTGATGTTAAAAAGTAAGTGTTTAAAATATATGTTCAAATTAAACCTCAGAATTTGATTGCTTCGAAAACAAAAGTGATTGAATAAGATCATACTTCATCTATATTGTTTTACAGCCATGTTCTTTTTTTCATCTGATATTTTTTTTCTTTCTCTACCAGGCATAGATGCACAGAATGTGGAAAAGCATTCAAAATCTATAAACAACTGTTGAATCACCAGAAGGTACATCAGGAAAACAAGGCTAAGATTGAAGAGCTCAACAAACAAATTCAGACACTCATGCAGATGAGTGGGAATGCCTCAGGGAGTGGAATGCAGGCACTTAATTCCAGCAGAAAGAGAATGAGCAGACGCCTTAAGCAACGGCAGACCTCTAACAGTGATCAGTCTAGCCAAGAAAAAGAGGGCCAGATGGGAGATCCCAGGGACCCTCGCCCTTTTGTCTGTGATCAGTGTGGGCGAAGCTATCGACATGCAGGGAGCTTAGTCAATCACAAAAACTCGCACAAGACAGGTGAATATTACTGTGCTTTGTGCAACAACACTTACTCCAACCAGCTAGCAATGAAGAACCATTTACGAATACACTTTGCCATCAAAAGACACTGCTGCCAAGACTGTGGAAAGGCCTTCAGGGGAAACAAACAGTTACTCAACCACACATGTTCAACCAATAAAAGAAATGCAGCAGCAAGAGGAAAGGTCAGGGGCCACAAACAAAAAAAGGATTTGACTTGCAAGCAGTGCCGTCTTGTATTTCCAGATACTGAACTACTTGAAGGACATACCTGTAGCACAGAGACTGCTCCTGATTCTGTCCCCCCAGGAGATGTAGATGATGATGATGATGCGGACCTAGAAAAAGAGGAACGACCATTCAAGTGCAACATTTGTAGTCGCAGTTATCGTCACGCTGGTAGCTTGTTGAACCATAAGAACACTCACAAAACAGGCCATTTCACCTGCACCTTCTGTGCCAAGCCCTTTTCCAATCCCATGGCTTTACGAAACCACACACGCATTCACACGCAGAAGAAAAAGTATGTCTGTCCTACTTGTGGTAAATCTTTCCGTCTCTCCAGTATCCTGTACAATCATCAAAAAATCCATGCACGGGGAGTAACTCGTTACAGCTGCCAAACATGTGGCAAAAGCTTCCAAGGAAAGTCTGGGCTAAAGAGACATCGCTGTTACCGAAAAGGCAGTTCAAACTCTACTGTAAATCAAGATGGCATGGACAAATGCTACACGTGAGTCATTTCTTTTCTTTTCTTAAATGTTATTTGAAAACCTATCCTTCATCTGATGCCAATCTTTTCCTTTGTTACAGGTGTGATCAGTGTGGACGCTCTTATAGACATGCCGGTTCCCTTCTCAACCACAAGAAGTCTCATTCTGCTGACCTCCTCCACTGCACTCTCTGCCTCAAAACATTCATGGACCCTCTGGATTTAGAGAGCCATTCTCAAATGGCTCGCCACTGCTGCCCAGATTGCGGAAAAACCTTCTGTGAGTTTGCACACCTGCAGAGCCACATGGAGGTGCATAGTAAGGAACTCCCCTATTATTGCAACATGTGTCAACAGAACTTCCCAAACCTGGCTAGTTTTCAGCAGCACCAGGAGCTCCATGGCAGCTTGCAGGGGCAGTCACACCATGAGCAAGGTATGCAGATGCAGCAGGATTTAGGCTGGGACTCGGCACTAGACCAGCAGATAGCAAATCAGAACCTTCCTAAGATCGGTTCAGCCTTCAGCCGAGTGCGCGGATTCCCTGATCCTCAAGACCAGCAGGAAAGTAGCAAGGGACACGGTAGGAAAGAGAAAAGTCATGTGTGTGAGCACTGTGGGCGCACTTACCGCCACGCTGGTTCACTGCTCAACCACAAGAACAGCCACAAGACGGGTTCCTTCTTCTGCTCAGTCTGCCAAAAGGAGTTCACCAATCTCATGGCACTGAAGAATCACCGGCGCATTCACACAGAACCCAAACGCTATCAGTGCCTGGAGTGTGGCAAGGCCTTCCGGGTCTCCACCCAGCTTATCTGCCACAGGCGAATCCACACCAAAGAGAAGCCCTTCTCCTGCCTCCTTTGTGACAAGCATTTCTCTAGCAAGTCCAACCTTCGGCACCATCAGAAGATGCATCAGAATACCCAACAGACTTACGAGTCCTCCTTCAACGTGGATGATAATGCGTTCATGGGACTGGGTGAGAACCCTTTCCTCTAAGGCCACGCTCCAGTCTTGCCGCTCCAAGGGAAGATTTCAAAACAATATTGTATTACAAGACTCTTTCTCCACCCAAGGCCCAATGCCAGTAATCGTACAACATCAGGTTTTCTGCTGTACTTGTCCAGATGGTGTCGCACACAGATGCTAATCTCGGCAAGACTTGCCTCCTTTACGGTTGTGTCTTTAATGGACACTTAAGACTGGCATTGATATGATACTACCTCTGGTAGGGACAGTAATACTGTAGACATTTTAGAATAAGTGACAGTGCCTGTCAGAGACCATTTTAGATTTTTATTTTATTTCAATTGTTTTGTGTCCCCAAACAGTGCACAAATTGTTTGGTACCATGATAGGTCTCAGACTGAGAGCTTGGATGAGTATTTCTGTCCAGACTCTTACCTAGTGCTGCCTTCAAGAGCCTGACCGATTATTTGGCGTAATCGGAGGGGGAACAAAACAAGCTGTTATTATTTTTAAAGGTATTATGGGGATAATAGGATACATGATATCCTTCTAATTATGTTTGTATTAAGTGCTTCCATATTTTCAGGTTATCGTACTGCTCATGGTAGATGTGCTGTAATGATCGTCTCATTAAGACCAACATACTCCTGATGTTCCTGCAGTTTCATAATGGATGACACTGGTAAGGCTGTTAAACAGCAACCTTCACTTAGGCCTATCTTGTAGAAAATCTCAAAGATATTTATTTATTTAAATAGAACTATTTAAACCTTACATTAATATTTGAAATGTAAGCATATTCCTTGTCTTTAATACTGTTAAATGTGGTACACATTATGCATGGTATTAAATGTGTGATAAATGCTAGATTGGTCGATTATGTAAGTATTCTAGATAATGGTTGTAATCACTTAAGAAATACCTCTTTAAAAGCATTCACAACAGCATATTAGAAAGAACAATAGAAACATTTCAGTTTTCTTAGTGCATACTTTTCTAGTAAATGTTTTATGAAGTGGAAGTATGTTCAAGATTTTGGAGCACAAAAAATTAATGGACCCCAAAAAAAAATCCATGATCGGTCGGGCTCTGTAAGGGCAGGAATTCACAGACTAAACCCTTTTTTTCCAACAGTTTTTAAAAAAATGCTCAGGTCTTGCAACTTACTAGACGCAATGTAGAAAATACATTTAGCTTGATGCTTCTAGCATCAAGGCTTCTGTGTCTGTCTTTGATGCCAGATTGAATTTCAATGTGCCATTTCATATCACCACGCTACTTGGATTAAATTATTTGTAAGATGGTTTCCTTTTAAGCCTATAGATCAGTGCTTACTGATTATCCAAGAGTAGAATTTGCAAACCTTCATGTATTAATGGCTTCAATGCATTTGACAAAACTTAAACTGACAACTGAGACTCCCTGTAATCAGTTGTGTATATCTTAAATATAAAATATTTATTTTTGTTCACATGATCAATGTTTCTCTTTCTCAAGTAGGGACCTTAATAAGCAGATGGTGTTTATTTGTAGGTGTTGATACCCTCACTTTCTTGAACTGAATAAAAACAATATAATAGTGTGTTTTGGCTTCTATTTTTAGCCTTCTTGTATTTTATCTATCTTTTACACTTGAATTCCTTGCTGTGCATTACATGATTATTTTAGAATATGCAAATGAGTAGATGGGTTTATCATTCTGCTGTCATATTGTTTCTTCAAGTGTGAAGACTCCAAATTAAATACTTTTAAGAAAACATTTAGGAAAAGAAAACGTCAACAGACAAATATAGTACATTAGTTGTCTCTTTATTGCATTCAAATGCATAGTTTCCTCTGCAGTCTGTGGAGTAATTGTGAATGAGTAAAGGCACATATACACAACCAACTTTACTCAAGACTGTGACAGTGCTGTGCATGCTTCGCAGGTTTATGTTTATCAAGATTCTGGACTAGCTTCTTGATGTTTCTAGATTTCTGACAAACATGGCAGTGATTTGCATTGAGGTACATAAAGTATTCTTGGGAATTGGCATATAAAATGTGCTTAGTTTTCTTGAAAACAATGTAACACTGCAAAAAAAAAAAAGATGATTTCTTTAAGCAAAATAATTTCTGGGTTGAAATGTGACTCAGACCTTTTTTTCACAGGTTTTGTGAGATTAACCTTTCTAAAAATGCTTGATGTCTTTCAAACAAGTTAATTTCATTACTCCTCAGCATCTGCTGCATATAAATATATACATTTCCTAATGCCCACAGCAGGCTACACACATCTTCAAAACACGAGAGATTAAATGCATCACGATAGATGTATGTAAATATCACACTAAACTATCTAATCTCTTATGCGCATAAAGGTAGGAAAACTAAGATTGAATCTGACACCTGCAGCTCTTTTAAAGAATCTGTTCATGTCAGCTGGCAACTCTTCACTTTCAGGTAATGCTTTGTCTTCGCTGCTCTTCAGTGCCTCCACATCTCCAGAATGTTCATCAATGCCATAGACGGGCTGCTGAGCCAGTCAGTGTCAGAATATTGTTGTACAAAGGGCTACATCTATACAGTGCATAGTATTCCAACACTATAAAAATAGATAATTAAACTGTACAAAGATTACAAATACATTCAAATGGCTATGTGCCATACTTAGTCTGTCTATAAGGCATATTTGTGTAAAAAAGGATCATCTCTAAGTCTATGTTAAACTAGTTTCGGTTATTTGTGTTTATCGTGTTTGCAAATCTAACAAGGAATATTCAGGTGGAAATGCATCTACAGTGCACTCTAAGTGCAACATGAATGGCCACACATTTTTTGCAAAAACAGTGTAACAAAACCTGTCACTAAAGCATTTGAGGGGTTCCAAAAAAAGGAATATAAAATATGCTATCTTGCTGTCTATAGGATGTCACGTAGCACCTAAGGCTTGCAAACCTGTTCTGCACAGTGAGTGACAAGGAAGGTCTCAGTGCAGCTTTTTTGCATAATCATTTGCTATGCATGACATAGCCTACTAATGTAATAAATTAGACAAATCAGATGCTACTCCTAGAACACTCTGTGGTTGAGGTACCAGCCTGTGTTTAACTGACTGGAGTAACAGTCCATTTTCATATGCTGTCAGCTTGAGTTCCATGAGCTGCAAACATTTAAAAGATTGCATATGAACAAAACTAATTACCTTAATGCATTTCAAAGCATCCTAAGAAGTGTTGCATTTTTCAACCCCTACCTTATGAAGAACCTATACTGGATAAAGGGGTCCTGTTGTCTCTTCAATCGGTTCTGAGTTGTGAACAGAAAAAGTTGAGTTAGTTTTGAGTCCTGCTCTGAAGGAGAGTGTTTGTTGTTAAAAAGATGCTGTAATGTTAACATCTCACCACGTAAGGTCCTCTTGGACCTGCATTGATGTACTAGAACGCCTATGAGCAAGGCTCCGCTAACAATTACGGCTGCCAGGACAGATAAACTGGTAATTGCTGCCACCCTCCAGGAATTCGAAGGCTCTATGGGTGGGCCTTAAAAACATAGGACAATGTTACTGGAAGACCTCCAGCTCTTCACACAATACAGAAAGAATCTGACCACTCCTTCTCTGTACGTAAGCTTTGACCTATTGCAAAAAGCATCTACTTGCAATGCATTCTCATGAGTGTTTAACCTTATTCAATAGTGATGGGAATATCGGACCATTTTAATGACTTGAATCTTTCAATCTTGTTTAACAAAATGAACTATTTTTTTATTCAAGTTATCTTGTTCATATGAGTGGATGTAAATTCAAATGTTCCATTGTAGTGAAATTCCCCATTTTCATTCAGTCTTTGAAAATAGTAGAAAGTAGGACATTATAATGCAACCCTGCTTCCGTCTCAATAAATAAATAAATACATAAATAATAGATAAAAAAACAAGTGGTTGCGACTTCATATCACACACAAAAAGATTTTTTTCTAGCAATTCTGAGTTGAGATCTCACTATTTTTACAGTTTCCCGCAGTTCTGAATTTATATCTCACAATTCAAACTTTGTTTCTTGCAACAACAAAAAAAAAAGTAAGAATCTTGAGAGAAAAAGTTGCAATTACTTTTTAAAATTTTCATTCAATGGCGGAAAAATGGCGTTCGTTCAGTTCTCACATGATAAAAGCAAATTAACTCTTGTAGGCTTTATAAAAAAGGGACAAAACTGTAAATGGGGCGGAACCCTTTCAAAATAAGCCTACTTTAGCACTAATAGCCTATGCACTTTTAAAGTATGCCTAATATGTAGGCTACCTGTAAGGTAGCTACTAATATGTACAATTTAGGGACAAATAAGGTAGAAAGATGTACCTTTAGTTTTTGTGTATCAGGGTTACCGCCTTAGTAACAGCTTTTTGTACCTTTTTTATGAGTTCGTGAGCCATATATACTCACATGTGTCACATGATGGGGTTTTCGGGTACTGTTTGCATATATAACAAGGTACACATTGTGCGACATCTTTGTTCCAGAATTCCGATTTCAAACAAAGGGCTGAACCTGCCAAAATTGAAAAAAGAAGCACAAACACAAAAAGGTGTCAAATAGCGGCAGCAAATTACAGCGAAACTGACAAAAACAGCTTCTCCGCACGCGTTTCCCGAGAACTTGGGGTGTGTTCGAGGTTTTGCACAATGGTAATATTTGATGTGTTACTACTGAATAAGACGATCCAAGAGCTTTCTTCGCACTCTGCCTCTTTTTCATATGAAATGCGTTGGGAAATTCCGTTGAAGTGATGTGGTGGTGCACTGCACTCGCGGGGAAACGGTATTACTCATGCTCTGAGTGCGTAAGCAAGTCTTAGCTCGATCACGGCCAGACTGATGCGGCCTCTGAGTGAATGCAAAGTGTCCCACTGCGACAACTGAGGACATGGAAAAGAGACTTTAAGAGAACTAATGGGTTGGCGAAGGAGTCATCAGTGAAAGCTGCGGGGCTTAGGGTTTGTCTTGCGCACATGCTTGCAATCAAGGGAGGTACATTAAAGGAAAAAGCGGTAAGGCAGGTACCACAGAAAGTCTTTCACATAAACAGCTGCGGTCTACATATGATTAACATCTGCAAACTAATCAGCTGCAGTACTCTTGTGACGTGACTTCTAGAACACCGGCATATTCTAATGAAGACTTGCTTTCAAAGGACTTCGTCTTGATGTCTCATCCTTGTGAAATGCGGCGCTACATTTATCACTATCAAATGTAAATGATTAGCCAGAGCAACTTAATTAAAATGAGTGCTAGTGCATATTGAATGTCAAATCTTTTCTTGACAAGTTGTGTGACGAACAACGTAAAGGCCTTCTGCTCAGGTTGATTTATAATCTGATATTGGCCCTGTATGGAGACTTTCAAGGATGCATTAGGCTACTGCATTAAATATTCACTGAAACATAAAGATCTGCATATCTTTATGCCATATACATTAAAGCACATTTTAAAACAGTTCAGGAAGTAGGCTATTGAATCAGATTTCAGTACATTCTTATCTCATGTGGTTTGAGGTTGCGAATGTGGGCTGCTCATCTAAAAGTTAATTCAGACATAGGCTACTGAAATCAGTCCTCACCACTGCGCCCTTGAACAATAGTAAAATAGCAAAGCCTTGTGTTTTATCATGCACACCCAAGCAAGCTAAATGATCAGTAAACATCAGCTTGAATTTCAAGCTGAGTGTCTGTAGTACTCAAGCTTTGTAATCCAAGGACCCCTTTTGTCAAAGTTAATATCTGAAGGTGCCCCTACACAGCCTGGGGTTCTTCCTCTTGCACTTCTGCTGAAATGATGAGGTGCCATGTTTTACTTTTTTTTTCTTTCTTTTTTTTTTACAATGAATTGAATAATTCACAAAGTTGTTTTATTGATGCTTGAAAAGTTATTTGTTACCAAAACATTTTTTAAAGAAAAGTAATATAATCAAATAGCCTAATTAAAAACAAAACAAAAATATATATAGGCTATTTGTATTAATTAAATGTGTCAGTTTTGTTTGCAAAGGTTGTATGCTGCACTGGGAAAAAAATCAGTCAATTCTTGAATTATTTTCTTAATTTATTTGTTAATTATAATTATACATAATATGAAGATGTTTTGCAGCCACCTTGGAAGTTTTTGTAAGGCCCCCTAGTGGGCCAGATGCCCCTAGAGAACCACTACAGTATATTGATGATTTAAGCATGTTTTGATGTTTATGATTAAATTCATAAGACTTTAAATCTAATTTCCTCGTTGTAATGTAACTTTGTGACATGACATGACATGAATCAGTTTTCTGTCTGTATTAAATCACTGCTTAACTAAAGCCACTGAATATAACAAGGGCATATGGGCACTTTCCAAGACATTGCCTAAGACTTCTCCATAGCAGACAATCCCTTTTTTCATTCCTGCAAGTGTTTTTACAATTAAAACTGTTCCAGCAGTAACATACACATGGCAAAGTAACAAAGGCACTACAAGCTTCATGTTCCTCATGGAAAGTTGAAGCCTCTTGTTCTCAGCTGGGCACAATACAACCCACGGAGCGGGCGGGAGTGAAATAAGAGCATTGGAATGCGGAACCGGTGGGAACTGTAACTGGTAAAGGAAGCTATTACGAATGAGGCAGTTCATCGTCATTAACTCCACTGACTCCACGTCTCGCTATAGAGAGACTCATGTATGTGTTCATAGCAAGAGGACAAATGAGACATAAAGGTTGGGACTTTCCTCACCAGCAGAAAAATACATAACAAACGTCACACATACGCTCTATGTCATAACATAGACATATTAAGCAAGTAACTGTGAATATTCTTACTTTTATCCGCGTTTATTCCATGAATAAGCGTGGCGATCAATAGAGTAATCCAATAGAGGCAACGCAACATAGCACCGGAATCCATTGAGCTTTATATATATTGAAATCCCACAGCGATTTCAAAAGATTAAAAGCCACAAATGGGTTTCAAGCATAGCAAAAGCAGCGCGTGTGAATGACCCACCCCAAACTTTCAGTCTTGTTTTAATAGCGCCCACACCCACGCGTTGGATTCAACTCCTCTATGAGTCATTTCCTATGTACTGTACTGAGATTCTGTGGCTGTATCTCAAAAGCTTGTGGGCCGTCTATGTAGTAGACAGCGTTTAGGGCATCCGCGAGACTTAAAATGAAGTCTAACCCACGTCAAGAGTTTCCCAGCAAACAAGAACGTTTTACTAACGTTCCCTTTAAGTCATGAAAACGTTATTTCTGGATGTTCTCCGAACATTCCGTTTTTAAAGTTTAAAAAGCGTTTTTACTTGGTTATGTAAACATTAAGAGGAACGTTCCATTTTATGATTTTGGAGACATTATGCGAATGTTCGCTTTAGACGAATGTCCAACTCAAATGTTTTAGAAAAGCATTCCATAAACGATTTATGCATGTGCCTGTGCTTTGAGAACGTTATTAAAGAACTTTGAACAAACATTCTATTATTGTTAATGGGAAAATGTTTGTTCATAACTTTCTGAGAACGTTCCCTTTTAGCAGGGTTAATGAGAACACAATCCTTTAAAAAATGTATATGTGATTTTAACATGAAGTTTGATTTGGTGTAATGGTTCTTATTATTGTTCACATGCAATGCAAAATATTAAGCACAAGTTGCGACCAGTTCCTGAACTCAAGACACTCTTCTACCTGTTCTTTTTTGTCAATCATCAGCATACATCTGGACTATGGTAATCCCTGCTGGACTGGTACTCCCGATTTTTACGAGCAGCTTCTTTTTAGTGAGTCACACTGCTTCAGGTGTAGTGCCGAAATGTGCACCCTGCCAGATTATGCACCCCCTAGGTAGGTTTAGGGTTAGGGGTGGGGCTGGGATTAGGCAATCAAGTAGCGACTTCAACGAGGGGGTGCAGAATTCGGCACAACACCAGCAATATTTCATAGCAGTCATGCCACATGGACATCAGCACAGTGACCGAGAAGCGACGAGGGTTGATTGAGCAAATGTGAGCTCTTGATAGAGAACAAGAGAGAGAAAATCAATATTTACCCTGCCAGATTATGCACCCCCTCGTTGAAATCGCTACTTGATTGCCTAATCCCAACCCCACCCCTAATCCTAACCCCTCCCCCACACCTACTCCCAAACCTACCAATACTAGGGGGTGCATAATCTGGCAGGGTGCAAATTTCGGCACTACAACGGTCCTAGAATCTCTGTATTCACAGCACGACACAGCACTACGAGTGGAAACCCGTTAATGATGGTAAACGCACATAAACAGCCTGTTTGCTGACAAGTGTCGTTTTTACTTTCAAGAGCTACATTAACGTGAAAAAGACGCCAATTCTCTAGTAATAAGAAATATCCGCCTTTATAATATTGGTGGTCTTGTTGACGTAAATATTTGTTGTCAGACCTATCAAGAAAACAACTTAAATGAATACACGTTTAAACCAAGTACTTTTTGTAAGAGCACGAACTAGAGACCCCAGTCTCCGCGCACAAAATATGTTTGAGCAAAATAGGCACATTAAAGTCACTCCACCCAACTACGTAATTCACTGTCACTGGTCCAAGCGAGCAAACAACAGTTCAGTGTTTGGCAGACACACAACACAGACTGCGAAGAAAAGCAGTACGGCATACAGTTACTAATACGATCAGAACTGCAAAACCATGGGTGCAGGGAAAAACTTAAGGTCAATTGCGCAATATAATGAAAAACATTTACATATATATTCCGGGCAAAAAATTGCAAGTTTAAAAAAAAAACCGCGTGGTAGGTTTTATTTTCTCCCCAGGACTGCTTCCCATGTGATCCTCTTCTAATAGTATGCAACTATACATATCTATCTAAACCATCTGAAGTTACTAAAGACACATGCATTGTGCAAATAGGATTGTACTGGCAGACAAGATATGCACTGCTTTCCAAATGTAATATTACAGTTTCAGTTCATCCTTTTGCACTAAGTACAACAATAACATCGCCATTAAAATGAAAAGCCAGATTCAAGCAAATCAATCTTCAATGCAAAATCACAACACAAAACCACACAACAGCTTTAACTGGTAAGGTAAAACACTTGCATAAAATACATTGCGTAATGTCTGTAAATGTGTTGTCTAGGTTGATATCAAAGCAGAGAACTGGGTTCACAAATAATTTTATACAATTTTTATTTTATTTTTGTGAAATTGTGCAATAGTTATTGACATACGTTGGTGATATATCGGTTATGGGCACAGTATGGTTGGATATCTACTGAGAAATTTTGTTCATGAATATTTCTTGGACTCCAAAGTTGATTTCTGTTTTGTCTTTTTAAGATCACTGCACCACCATCTATGCTTCTAATTGTGCAGCTCTCCTCTTTCCACCCAGTACCCATCACATCTGTTCATTACTAACTTTAAGGGGTTCAATAACAGAGAGTGTCACCATAGAAACTGACTGACTCACTAACTACATTACTGGATAGAGTTACTGTACGACTCAAACGGATAAGGCCATAATTGTCAAAACAAAACAGTTTCTTTTAACTTTAAATGTCACTCATATTCTGTGGAGTTACGACATTTATGATATATTGAAATCTGAGCAGATACAGATTGCTTTCCTCTTTGTTTTTTTCATGGTCATTCAACAAAACGCAGATTTAAAAAAAAAATTATTTGCAGTACTTTAAAGAACACACAAAAAGTAAGAGACAAAACTCAATGGATTCCTCTGCAATGAAGAAGCACTGCTTGCGTGCTGTAGACCATGACTACTTCCCAATTGTTTCCATTCTGTCAATGTCTGTTTGGTCACTAGCACCACCTATCACAGATGGGAGTGAAAGTGGCTCTCTAGATGGGAGTGAAAGTGGCTCTCTAGAGCATTTTAAAATACCATATCATGGTAATCTTGTGCTTCCAAGACCACTTCATCCCTTCGTTTCTCATCTACTTTTTGCAGTTCATCAAAAAGCCCACACTAAATTAAGTGATGTAGATGCGGTGGAAGTCGTTTGCTCCGAATGCAGCATTGCATTTGGGGCACTTCCTTTGGCGAGTGTCGTAGCGCGTCTTCAAGCATTCATAGCAGAAGACGTGGAAACACTTGGTGAGGACAGTCTCCTTATCTCGGGTATTACAACAGGGACAACGTAATTTAGCCTAGAAATGAGAAAACAGTCAGGTCAGCCAAAAATAATACAGTATTAAGATAATATACCAGTCATTAAATGCTTGAAATTAATTTCATAGACACATTAATTGTGCTTATATAAAAATATTTTTTTTAAAGGATGAGTTGGACCAAATAGTACAGGAAAAGCAGCCAACTAGCGGCCAGCACACATGGGGAAAAAACCCATCCCAGTTGGATTCCTCAAGATGTTGGCTGGAAGAATAGCCACAGTGTGTAATCTACTCAAAGTGTGGCTACTATTAAGAAGTTCAAATTATATGATAGTTTGACCTAGTTTGGTCACAACATGTTTCCCATACTTCCATTTGTGTTTTCATAACTTTGATGACTTCATTATTATTGTAAAATTGTACAAATACATTTTTTCTAATTGCTTTAAATAATATATTTACAAGTTTGGGACAAATATTTCTAAATAAATATAAATATATTTCGAAATCGAAATCTTGTTAAACATTATACTTAGTATAGTATACTTAGTCTTACTGTCACTGTTGATCAATTAAATGCATTTGCTCAATAAAAGTACTCATGTCTTCTTTACTCATGCCCCCAATATATAAAATGAGTAGGTACTGTGTCTGAAATTTTTACTGACCTTATACTGATTAATTTCTTCTTGCAGAATCTCATCAGCATCTGTGTACACCTCAACTTTCTTCTGTTTCTCCAGCTTACGTCGCAGTCTGGACAAGTCCTCCTGAGAAGAACAGCACAGTAGAAGAGTTTCACACACATCGTTCTCACTCATTTGTATCCCAAACTTTTCTACAATACATGTGCCCATGCACCTGTGCTTTCTTGAGGTTGACGCTCTCCCTCTCACGGGCAGTTCGGTTTTCTAGTACTGAGGCTTGGATTTCCCTCAACTTGGTCTGAGTGTGTTCCAGCTGTACTTTAAGATCCTCGGCCAACTGGGCCGCCTCCACTGCCTGAGCCATCGTGCAAAAAGACAAGCATTAATCACACATCTGGAAATGTATGCTAACGGTTGGCTAAGTTGAGTCATGGTTGTCATGGACATGAGAACAGAGGTGGGCGTCTGTGATCTTTCCGGTTTTACCTTGCGCTTATTGAGCTCCAGGGCTTGAGTGCGCAGTGCCAGCTCCTTCTCCAGAGTGACCAGTGTGCTCTGCAGGACACCCTCCTTTTCTTCTAATTTCTGCACTACCAGCAGCTGAGCATCCACCTGGGAGAGAGTTAAAGAGCAGATGATACAACTACATCAGTATTTATTTCTTTTCTTTAAACAGAAGTTGTAAAACATTATTATGTGCAGATTTTATGCCTCAAAATTGAGAGGTCCATGAATTTTAGCTTTCTAGCAGGGATGAGCCGACTATTTGTCTGTCAACCAACTAGATTTTTTTCTAATTTTAACTTTATTTTTTAGTGGCGGTACATTAAATGTGATCAATTAGCAGACTTTTATCTGATTTCTGCTGGTTTCCATTTTTATGGACATTTTTGAAGGTTAATTTTGTGTATTCATGTGCTACAAAAATTTGAGTAAAGATGGCATGCTATGTTAAAAATATTGACCCCTATGATCAAGTCATATGTCTACTGAGATACCATCATCTGAACAATTTCTGAAGGCAACGTAGATATATACATTGCTGCCTATGATATCCCACCATCATGTATTCAATTCCATGACAGTTGATGTTTTTAACTTTTGAATTCATATCTAGCAAGAAATTAGTATTATAGCAGTTATGACCAAAGTTTTCTCTATTTTGTTGCAGATCATTAGACCGTTAGGCTGCCAAACAAGCCTGTCCAAAATCAGTTTTGTGTGATACCTTTGTGTGCAAACGCTGC